GGGGAACACGATGGTGGGGGAAAAATCATAAAATACATGGAGAAAAACACCCCTTCCCTGGAATTAAACACTCCCCAGGAGCCAACAGCAACGGGAAGAGGCCAAACCATCAGCAGAGCAGCCTGAATTCCCCAGCAGCAGAGAGACGGCGTCGACTCGCAACTTTCCAGAACTAATTACTGTGATTTCTAACGACCCTGGATTATTCTATCGACGCAAAAAAGAAACCAGACACTTGTAACCTCCCTAAAACCTCCCTCGGCTTTTTCTTCTTCCCCGTGTCTTCATTTCAAAAACTTCACTCTGTTTTTTCTTCCAGGGTTTTTTCTTCACAGGGAGGAGACAGCGCTTTGAAGAACCGGCTGAACATCCTTCCTACTCCCGGGCGACAGCTAAAAAATCTCTATTTAAAATAAATTTGCTATAAAGAAAGGGGGGGGGGGGAAAAGCTTTGGAATAAAAGGAATCTGGCTTGACAAGATGTCTCGGAGCTTGTCTCTAGTCAGGGAGTCAAAAAGCAGCGAGGAAAGGATGAAAAAAACATCCAGAAACTCTCTCTCCCTAAATTGTGGGGCCAGAAACTCCCCTCCCCCTGAATTTTTGGAGCCAAAACCTCCCCTCTCCCTAAATTTTTGGGGCGGGAAACTCTCTTCTCCTGAATCAAGGGAGTTTCTAATGGGATGGTGAGGAAGGGAACATCCACCTGTCTACACAACATCGCCACAAAGGCGGCAGCATCATCTCTGCCCCCCAAAATCCATCCCAAACCCAGAAAAAGCAGAGGGAAAGAGGAAAGGGGTGGAAAATCAGAGCGGCGTGGCCGAAATAGCTGTGTTTTACCCCGAAACTCCCACTCCCACCGCCGAGGGGAAGGCCCTGTCCCTGCTGTACCTTCCGCGCGCGGCTGTTGGTGACGGGGAACTCGCCCAGGCTGTCGTCGTCGATGCGGGGATCGGGGAGGGCCCGTTTCTCCAACGGGTCGGTCCTCAAAAGGGCTTCCAGGCTGCTGCCGTCCTGAGAGATCAGCCCTTCCTTCTTCAGGGTCTGATCCGTGTCTGCAGGAGCCAGTGGGGGGAAAAAGGAGAAAAATCAGTGGGGGAAGAGGGAGATGCAGCAAGATCCCGTCTCACGCAGCGCGGCGGGGTCAGAAAAAGGGATTCACCGCCCCTCAATCATCATCCGGTGATATTTGGGCACGATTTTGCCCAAAAAGTCACCCCTAACTGGGCGCAGAAAGCAGCAGTGGGAAGGATTTACCTGGTTTGATAGAAGGGAAAGAAAGTCTGGGGTCCTCTGGAGGATGAGCACGGCGTTTCTTCCGCCAGCGGCGCGCGGGGTAGGAGTAAAGCTGCCCGGCGGCTAAACCTTTTATTCAAAAAACCAAAAAAACAACCCAAAATTATCCGAGGTGATGACACACACAGAGTCCTTGTCCCCAAGCTGGCTTTTTCCCACCTTACCTGGCCCTCGGTGACGTTTCTCCATCCAGATGTAGCAGTTGCTTTGGGCAACCCCAGTCTGGGAGTCGAGGAAAGGGAGGCGGACGCTCCTCTCGGCGCAGAGCCGGGCGTTGTAGTTGTGACACTGCTCCATGGCATCCCGGTAGTACTGTTCCCCGAGGCTGTTGGGGGAAGAAGAGAGGGTTCAAAGTTCACCCCCAAATCCCAAAATCCAACCCTCAGCCCACAGCAGGGTCAACCAGAGCAGGTCGGACATAAAAAACGTGTCCAGGTGGGTTTGGAATCTCTCCAGAGAAGGAGACTCCATCATCTCCCTCAACGTAAAGAAGTTCCTCCTCATGTTGAGATGGAAGTTCCCATCTTCCAGTTTGTGCCCGTTGCCCTTTTTCCCCCTAACTGGGCACCACTGGGAAGAGTCTGGCCCCATCCTCTTGCCCCCCACCCTTTAGATATTAATAAAGGGTTGATAAGATCCCTCCTCAGTCTGCTCTTCTCCAGGCTGAACAGCCCCAGGTCCCTCAGTCTTTCCTCAGCAGAGAGATGTTCCAGTCCCTCATCATCCTCGCAGCCTCCACTGGACTCTCTCCAGTACTTCCCCGTCCTTCTGGAACTGGGGAGCCCAGAACTGGTCCCAGTTCTCCAGATGTGGCCTCACCAGGGCAGAGCAGAGGGGGATGACCTCCCTTGACCTGCTGGCCATGCTCTTCTTGATGCCCCCCAGGAGATTGTTGGCCTTCTTGGCCACAAGGGCACATTGCTGGCTCATGGGCAACTAGTTGTCCACCAGGACCCCCAGGTCCCTCTCTCAGAGCTGCTTTCCAACCCCCAACTTGTACTGGTCCATGGGGTTGTTCCTCCCCAGGTGCAGGACCCTCCACTTGCCCTTGTTGAACTTCATGAGGTTCCCTCAAGGCCCAACTCTAGAGCCTGTCCAGATCTGGCTGGATTGTGGCCCAACCTTCTGCTGTCTCACCCACTCCTCCCAGTTTGGGGTCACCAGCAAATGTGCTGCAGGTATTGCTGTCCCCTCAGACAGGTCACAGATGAATATATTGACCAAGATGGGACCCAGTACCGACCCCTGGGGAACACCAGGAGCCACAGGCCTCCACGTCGCTGGTCACAAGCCCTTGAGCTCCACCATCCAGCTGTTCTCCATCCACCCCGCTGTCCTCTCGCCCAACCCACCCTTCCCAAACTGGTCTAGGAGGACGTTATGGGAGATGGTGTCAAAACCCTTGCTGTAAATCGAGGTAGACAACGTCCCCTGCCCTCCTCTCGTCCCCCCAGCCTGGTGGCTTCCCAGTAAGAACCCCACCGTGCTTCATCCCGGACCTCTCCTCACAGGAAGCACAGCCCAAAATATCTCCTTTGCGAAGCGAAGACACAACTCCACGTGATATCAGCAGAGGACAGAGATGTCCCCTCGGCCAGCAGAAGCACAGAGACCACGGGGATGGCCACGACAGGCGATTAGTGCCTTCCTCGCTGCCGGCAGACAAACCGTGGCATCGTTAAGAGATCCCCTTGGCATTTTTCATGCCCCCAGAGCCTTCTGTGAGAAGCCCACGTGTTATTAATGGATTCCAGCACCTCTCTGGTTTCCTTAAATGCATTAATTGCACCCCATCCTCTTTTCTAAGAGCACGACCCCTTCGTGCCGCATCCCTACCCTCCTCTTTCAACCCGAGAGCGTCAGGGCTGTGGCTGTAATTAAGGTAATTAGTACGGTGAGACCTCCCCACCGCGCGTGGCAGGGAGAGGGGAAGAGCTGAGAGTCTGTTCGGCTGCTGGAGATGGGGTTTTTCCCCCCTCCCAGGTGTCAGGAGAGGAGATAAACCCTTTGTTTATATCAATATATATTGATCTTGGCACTTTAATACCGGCTGGAACGACTGCGCAGAGCCCGGGGGGGGGGGGGGGAACACGATGGTGGGGGAAAAATCATAAAATACATGGAGAAAAACACCCCTTCCCTGGAATTAAACACTCCCCAGGAGCCAACAGCAACGGGAAGAGGCCAAACCATCAGCAGAGCAGCCTGAATTCCCCAGCAGCAGAGAGACGGCGTCGACTCGCAACTTTCCAGAACTAATTACTGTGATTTCTAACGACCCTGGATTATTCTATCGACGCAAAAAAGAAACCAGACACTTGTAACCTCCCTAAAACCTCCCTCGGCTTTTTCTTCTTCCCCGTGTCTTCATTTCAAAAACTTCACTCTGTTTTTTCTTCCAGGGTTTTTTCTTCACAGGGAGGAGACAGCGCTTTGAAGAACCGGCTGAACATCCTTCCTACTCCCGGGCGACAGCTAAAAAATCTCTATTTAAAATAAATTTGCTATAAAGAAAGGGGGGGGGGGGAAAAGCTTTGGAATAAAAGGAATCTGGCTTGACAAGATGTCTCGGAGCTTGTCTCTAGTCAGGGAGTCAAAAAGCAGCGAGGAAAGGATGAAAAAAACATCCAGAAACTCTCTCTCCCTAAATTGTGGGGCCAGAAACTCCCCTCCCCCTGAATTTTTGGAGCCAAAACCTCCCCTCTCCCTAAATTTTTGGGGCGGGAAACTCTCTTCTCCTGAATCAAGGGAGTTTCTAATGGGATGGTGAGGAAGGGAACATCCACCTGTCTACACAACATCGCCACAAAGGCGGCAGCATCATCTCTGCCCCCCAAAATCCATCCCAAACCCAGAAAAAGCAGAGGGAAAGAGGAAAGGGGTGGAAAATCAGAGCGGCGTGGCCGAAATAGCTGTGTTTTACCCCGAAACTCCCACTCCCACCGCCGAGGGGAAGGCCCTGTCCCTGCTGTACCTTCCGCGCGCGGCTGTTGGTGACGGGGAACTCGCCCAGGCTGTCGTCGTCGATGCGGGGATCGGGGAGGGCCCGTTTCTCCAACGGGTCGGTCCTCAAAAGGGCTTCCAGGCTGCTGCCGTCCTGAGAGATCAGCCCTTCCTTCTTCAGGGTCTGATCCGTGTCTGCAGGAGCCAGTGGGGGGAAAAAGGAGAAAAATCAGTGGGGGAAGAGGGAGATGCAGCAAGATCCCGTCTCACGCAGCGCGGCGGGGTCAGAAAAAGGGATTCACCGCCCCTCAATCATCATCCGGTGATATTTGGGCACGATTTTGCCCAAAAAGTCACCCCTAACTGGGCGCAGAAAGCAGCAGTGGGAAGGATTTACCTGGTTTGATAGAAGGGAAAGAAAGTCTGGGGTCCTCTGGAGGATGAGCACGGCGTTTCTTCCGCCAGCGGCGCGCGGGGTAGGAGTAAAGCTGCCCGGCGGCTAAACCTTTTATTCAAAAAACCAAAAAAACAACCCAAAATTATCCGAGGTGATGACACACACAGAGTCCTTGTCCCCAAGCTGGCTTTTTCCCACCTTACCTGGCCCTCGGTGACGTTTCTCCATCCAGATGTAGCAGTTGCTTTGGGCAACCCCAGTCTGGGAGTCGAGGAAAGGGAGGCGGACGCTCCTCTCGGCGCAGAGCCGGGCGTTGTAGTTGTGACACTGCTCCATGGCATCCCGGTAGTACTGTTCCCCGAGGCTGTTGGGGGAAGAAGAGAGGGTTCAAAGTTCACCCCCAAATCCCAAAATCCAACCCTCAGCCCACAGCAGGGTCAACCAGAGCAGGTCGGACATAAAAAACGTGTCCAGGTGGGTTTGGAATCTCTCCAGAGAAGGAGACTCCATCATCTCCCTCAACGTAAAGAAGTTCCTCCTCATGTTGAGATGGAAGTTCCCATCTTCCAGTTTGTGCCCGTTGCCCTTTTTCCCCCTAACTGGGCACCACTGGGAAGAGTCTGGCCCCATCCTCTTGCCCCCCACCCTTTAGATATTAATAAAGGGTTGATAAGATCCCTCCTCAGTCTGCTCTTCTCCAGGCTGAACAGCCCCAGGTCCCTCAGTCTTTCCTCAGCAGAGAGATGTTCCAGTCCCTCATCATCCTCGCAGCCTCCACTGGACTCTCTCCAGTACTTCCCCGTCCTTCTGGAACTGGGGAGCCCAGAACTGGTCCCAGTTCTCCAGATGTGGCCTCACCAGGGCAGAGCAGAGGGGGATGACCTCCCTTGACCTGCTGGCCATGCTCTTCTTGATGCCCCCCAGGAGATTGTTGGCCTTCTTGGCCACAAGGGCACATTGCTGGCTCATGGGCAACTAGTTGTCCACCAGGACCCCCAGGTCCCTCTCTCAGAGCTGCTTTCCAACCCCCAACTTGTACTGGTCCATGGGGTTGTTCCTCCCCAGGTGCAGGACCCTCCACTTGCCCTTGTTGAACTTCATGAGGTTCCCTCAAGGCCCAACTCTAGAGCCTGTCCAGATCTGGCTGGATTGTGGCCCAACCTTCTGCTGTCTCACCCACTCCTCCCAGTTTGGGGTCACCAGCAAATGTGCTGCAGGTATTGCTGTCCCCTCAGACAGGTCACAGATGAATATATTGACCAAGATGGGACCCAGTACCGACCCCTGGGGAACACCAGGAGCCACAGGCCTCCACGTCGCTGGTCACAAGCCCTTGAGCTCCACCATCCAGCTGTTCTCCATCCACCCCGCTGTCCTCTCGCCCAACCCACCCTTCCCAAACTGGTCTAGGAGGACGTTATGGGAGATGGTGTCAAAACCCTTGCTGTAAATCGAGGTAGACAACGTCCCCTGCCCTCCTCTCGTCCCCCCAGCCTGGTGGCTTCCCAGTAAGAACCCCACCGTGCTTCATCCCGGACCTCTCCTCACAGGAAGCACAGCCCAAAATATCTCCTTTGCGAAGCGAAGACACAACTCCACGTGATATCAGCAGAGGACAGAGATGTCCCCTCGGCCAGCAGAAGCACAGAGACCACGGGGATGGCCACGACAGGCGATTAGTGCCTTCCTCGCTGCCGGCAGACAAACCGTGGCATCGTTAAGAGATCCCCTTGGCATTTTTCATGCCCCCAGAGCCTTCTGTGAGAAGCCCACGTGTTATTAATGGATTCCAGCACCTCTCTGGTTTCCTTAAATGCATTAATTGCACCCCATCCTCTTTTCTAAGAGCACGACCCCTTCGTGCCGCATCCCTACCCTCCTCTTTCAACCCGAGAGCGTCAGGGCTGTGGCTGTAATTAAGGTAATTAGTACGGTGAGACCTCCCCACCGCGCGTGGCAGGGAGAGGGGAAGAGCTGAGAGTCTGTTCGGCTGCTGGAGATGGGGTTTTTCCCCCCTCCCAGGTGTCAGGAGAGGAGATAAACCCTTTGTTTATATCAATATATATTGATCTTGGCACTTTAATACCGGCTGGAACGACTGCGCAGAGCCCAAGGAGCCCCGTAATCATCCACGCTCCAGGGATGGCTAATTTAGGTGAGTGAATAACGAGCTGGAAGACTCGTGTGTGTGAAATATCTTGCCCAATGGAGGAAAAGGAGACGGGACAAAAATCACTTTGTTGCAGAGTTTTTACTCCCAGCGCAAGTAAGTTGTGTGTGTGTGGGGGGGGAACCCAAAAGGTAGAGAGGGAATAACTGAAAATAAGAAGATATTGGTAAATATTAAATGTTGGTTTCCTTACACAGCCCTGTAACGGAGAAGTGAGGTTTGTGTCACTGCCCTTGGTGTGACAGCAGAGATTTCAGGAGGGCCAACGGTGGCCCAGGAGTAATTAAGAGCAATAAGAAAGGTCCCAAATTGCCTTTTTCTTCCTGCTGACTGCAGAGGGAGCCCAAATTCCAGGCTCAGGCGACTGTCGCGATCCCGGAGTTTGGGGATGCAAATCCCTCCTGGAGCTTTATAATTTCCTCCTAAATCACTTCATCGCTCCCTAATCGCTCAATTTGTGCCCCAATAACCAAGACTGAGGAGCCCTAAATATTCCTTGTAACGTCCAGGTGAAGCCCCGCCGACAGGAAGATCGCACAGAGGAAGAAAAATTGGCGTTTATGGGAATACAAACCCCAAAAAGAGTTTGGTTTCCAACTTATTTCTCTCCCACTGGCTTGATTGCAGAGTTTGGAGGGGTGGAAAGAGGCAATCAGCCCCAAAATAACTGTTTTAACTGCAAATTAATGGAGGGTTCCTGGGCTGGGTGAGAAATGCACCAGGATTTGGCTTCGACACCAAGAAAGTGACATGAAACGGGTTTTCAGGTGCTCCCCTGAATGCGGAGAGGATGGAGAGGGAGCAAAGGGAAACACTCCGAGTGGAGATCATCTCCCCAGCTCCCACGTACAACCCCAAAATCTTCCCTTCCATCCCCAAAACCAAGGGGTGCTTCGAGGGGCGGACGCTCGCTGATCCCCAAGGCACAAACCAACCTGGAGAAAGCTCCGCCGAGGAGCAGCACCGCTCAAAATCAGCGCCGGATGCGGAAAAAAAAAGAGCTAATGAAGCCTCCAGGAAGGACTAATGTGTTTTAAACAGCTCTAACGAACCCGATTATTGCTCCCTGTGGACTCAGAGCAGCTCAGAGCCTTCTCCGGCTGCTGAGCGAGTCCTAAGTGCCCTCAAGAGCAGCTTCCAGTAAAGGACATCGCGTCAGTGGATCGCTGTGGCAATAACCGGGTGGTTTTATGTGGTTTAGCACCATCAGTAAGAAATCGTGGCACGGAAACGGCTGGAAAATAAAAATTATGCGACCTCCTCCATCCCCAAAACTGCCAGGAAAAGGCAGGGCAGGCTTCGTGCCCAGGGAAGCAAGATGTACCCGTGCGGGAAGCAGGACAATTTAAACCTAAAAAGTCCTTGGAAAAAGACTGTCCTGTCCCAGCCACTGCTTTGTTGTTTGGAGAAAATTAAAGCAGGAGGGATTTGGAAGAGCAAACTCTTTGCCAACAGTACCCAGAGATACAAGAATGGCCCAGGGAATGGCTTTAAAAGGTAAGAAAACAAAATCCCACCACGTTTTTCTCCATCATCCTCAATAGCAAGCTGGGACCGAAAAAATCCAGCCTCAAACCCCAACGGCAGCTTCTAAAATAAATAAAGTACATTTGAGTGACAAAGGCGGGTGAAGACATGGTTTCAGGTGCTTCACTGAAAACTGCAGATCCTCAGGGGTACCAGTAAAGCCACGTCGTTGAGAAGCATCAGCTTCTTGATTCGGGGCAAAAAAAGAGTCCAAAAAAGGTGTTTTGTGACTCTCAGTTTGTGCTTCTCCCCAAAACAGCCCAATAAAGGGGTCCCAAAAATGCAGCAGCCGCCTCTGCCCGTGCCCTTGGCTGCCAGGAGTTTTGGCTAATGCATTTGCAGGTGAAAATCAGCCCTCACCTCTCTTAACAAACTCCTGCTCATCAGAGGAGAACCCAACGCCCCTTAACGAACCCTCATCTCATTAGAGAGGACCCAAGGGGTGCAAATCGCACCCCGTTTTGCACCAACACCCCACCAAGAAGGAAGGGTTCAGAGGAAACTGCAGCAGGGATGCAACGGTGCCGGGGTCGAGGCGCTGCCAGATAAAGGGAGACACCAAAAAAAAAACCCCAGATGATGCCAAAAAAACCCCAAAACCAGACCCTGGAAATGCCAAAAAGTCACCAGGAGATGCAAAAAAAAAAGGTCCCCAAACACCTCCAAGTTCACAAATCCCACCCAGGGAGGATGGGCCACCCTTATAGGGCTATATAGGGGACCTCCTGCACCCCCCTTGCTATAGCAGGGTGGATAACGGGGGGCTATATACCTCTCCAAGGGTATATATGCCCCCGGGGCTCTATAGGGCCATATGAGGAGGGGAACCTCCATCCCAAGGGCTCTATAGTTTTCCCTCTCACAAGGACATATTGAGGAGACCTCCCCCACTTCCAGGGCTCTGTGGGACACAGACCTATAGCACCGTAAAGCAGGGACCTCCCTTCCCCCACAAGGACATATGGGAACACCTATGGGGCCATATGGGGGGGGAGGAGGAGGGGGGGTTGCCTCATTTGGAGGCCCACCCAGACAGGGTGAATCTAGGGGAACATCCATAGCCAGGGCTCTATAAAGCCCCCCTCACTGGGGGGGGGAGGGCACCCCTGGGCTCTATAAGGCCCTTCTGAGGACCCTATAGGGGGAAATTCCCACTTCAAAGAGCCTTATGGGGGTGAGCACACCCCCATATGGGGGATCTGTAAGACCCCACCTCAGAGGGAAGAAGATGGACGTACAGAGGTGGCCAGGGATGGCCTAGAGGGGACATTCCCCCCCTCCCTGGCCCTCTATAGGACACTCTCCCGGGGCCATACATACCCTTTGGGCTCTATAGGCCTCTTTCTCAAGGCGATTCCACCCCCAGGGCTCTATAGGCCCTCTTATAACGCCATATGAGGGGGGGTCTCCCCTCACGGAACGAAGAGATTCTACAACAACCCCCCCCACACACACAAGCGCCTCAGCAAAGTTCACCCCGAACAATGAGCGCGCCCCCTTCCCCTCCTCGCCCCCGGCCCATTCGATCTCCCCCACAACACGACGGGCCTAAAGGGGGGAACCCCACGCCATTAAATCCCCCCCCCTCCCGAAATCGAGTGTGTTTTGTGGGGAAGGGAAAGGGGGAAGGGAAGGGGAAACACTCACAGCTTCACCACATTCTGTACCACCGCCGCCATCTTGCCTCCGCC